AAGCAGATTTCTCGGGCATCAACGATAGCTGTGTTACGAGAAAACACTCCACATCGATTATTTTTGCTAGTCACCATAGCAATAAGAAATAGCAGGATTTGTTGTGTACAGGTCAACAACAAACCTCTCGCTGCATCCGCTGAGTTAAAGATACCACACCTCAACGTTGACAACTTTGGAATATGAAAGGAAGGCACCAGTCACGAAATAACACGAGGTGATGCACCAATACAACTTCCACCACAATTCAATCTACACACTGGCAACAGATGGTCATACATTGGCTCGGAATCAAAACAAAAAGGAGATTCACCTAGTGCAGCGGTAGAACGGGGCTAAAATTCCTCCAGGAACTACAGTTTATGCGCGTATCGGCGGCAACATGTGGTATGTGAGGGTCAGCACCGACAAAACCCACTGCCAACGAGCTAATACAAACAACCTGAGCAATGGCAAAAGCATGAACGAAATGCAGAGGAAAAACTGATCAATCAACAGGACTGTACCGGTGACTCGATAACATCGACGCGCAGCAAATTGATAGCAAAACTAACACCAATCTTATTGATATTATTCGAGCACACGCATCTGAGACGTTCATTGGTGCAATTTCCACCAATCACCTCCTTCCTCATTTGGCGCGTGACTGCGGGTCGACGTGAGCGACAACGCACGTAGCAGAGTTGGCACAATAACGATAAAAGATGAACGAAACTGCCAAGTAAATGTGCAGATGGAATAAATCAAGTGTGACGATGATGCACTTGTTGAAGCAAAAAATAGTAAACAAACGGGGCGAATGAAATGAACGAGTTTATGCACTAACCCTTGCCAGTACCCATTGGCACGCTTCACTTCCATTTGGAGACTGAACCCATGGTTTACGCTCAGTCGACGTAATCACACTAGACCTCCTTGCACCAGAACAAACACTTACCAAGTAAGTATCATTGCTTCTCAAGCAGAAACTTGACACTATTTCTCGCATCCATCAATTCTAACAAAAGATGGCTACCGTCTCCTCAGGCGCCGTCAAATCAATCACTCCACACAAGTACCACTTCATTACAGCCCTATCTACCATGAATTGTGCAGCGCAGTGTTTGAGACAGACAAGGTGCAATCAGAGCAATGTCAGAACTCACCAGCATTGTGCAGCAGCTTGCAGGCCTCAAGCCTCACCAATTGTGTCGCCATCTTTCTCGTTGATGCCAGTGGACCCTGACACATCAAAAGAAACAAACTGCTACATGCTACTCGTATGCTCAAGGTTGCACAGAGCACTACTACCACCAAACAGGCGTCGAGATGGTGAAAGATGATGCCAGACAGGGACCAACCTTAATTATGTCTTGCAGCGGTGATGGCGGCGGCATAAGCATGTGAACACGATAGCCGCAAAACTCCTTATGCACTGAGTACAAGATCTTCAGGGGGTAGGAGGTGTCGGTTTTCAGCAGCGAGACGTACCTAATTAAGGAACGAGTACAGACCATAAGCACATTCCGTAAGGCAGGCAGAAAGATGGCACAATTTGGAATGAAGCAGTACAAATACCTCATGAGCACTGAAGAGGCGCCAGTGATGGTAATTCGTGGTCCATCAATACCATAGGGCATGTAGGAAGGATTCGAAACCTGATTGTTAATAGCCCATGTCAACCTCCCTTTCGCCTGCCCCACCATCTCCTCCTCCTCCTCACCATCCTC